CCTCTTTTGGAACCCGAGATTTTCTTATCACTCATGTGAAACAAATGGCTAAAAACATAAGTTTGGAGGAGAGATGAGGAAGTGGAAAAAGGTATCAAGGCACAAAAAGAGAAAAAGAAATGATGAGAAGAAAAGAAAAAGAAAAGAAAAGAACAAAAAGAAAAATGCAACAAAATGAATAAGTAGAAGAGTTGAAGGGATTCAAAGAAAGGCAATGATCCCAAACATGGAGAAATATGAATATAATGATCAAGAAAGAGTGATGTTAAGTCTCTCTAGTCCCCCAAGGAAAAGAAAATACCTCAAAGAATTGGCAAGGTATGAGCCGAGAATAAAAAGATGGAGTGCTTAAGGAAAGGTGTAACCACTCAACCATATTGTATCCAACCCTAATCCAAAAGCCTTCATTACATCCCAAAAGAAGTCATATTTGATCTCGAGCCGAGTGAGCTTACATTAGTGGCGATCTACATGAGGGGCAAGCCTATAGTACTTGAAGTCGTACTTGTGACATTCTGTTGAGAGAGACGAGTGAACCTTTCATAAATCTTTGGATTGCGTGCTAAAATTCTTTGGTGAGCTAGGCAAATAGAAAGTAGAGGAGGAGGAGTTTGGGATCCACAATGACCTACATGAGAGAGCGAGCTTCCTTGATGAGTAAAGTTAACTCTTGATGCTCAAGTGTCATATTAGAACTATATATGCATAAATGTTTAACTTGTCGCCTTGTTGATAATACATAAGTAATGTGGGTAATTGTTGGTCCCAACTGATGTGTGAATGGCTCACTTTTGACTTGCTGAAATGACCCTTAACTTGTGCAGGTGGGAACTAAATTATTTGCTTGAGGAGAAGCAAAGACTTAAGTTTGGGGGAGTTGATAAGTGGGAATTTTGACTACTTATTAGCACCTTTTTAGCTTTTGTTTTAGTCTAAAAGTATTAAATTGTGTTCCCTAAACTAATAAAATGAGCAAAATTGCAGGGATGCTGTAAGTTGGACTCCCGAGATGAAATCCGGCTCAAAGAGGAGTAGTCCAAGCACAAAGCAACAAAAGGGTACATAAGCATACAATGTGCGATCCGCAAAAATAATTGCGGACCGCAGAATTCCACCTGCGGCCGCAAACAAAGAAGCAAAATTCAGCAGATATTTGAACAAATTGCGGACCGCACATGAATTGTGCGGCCACAAGAGCTGGGCTAGGACTCAAGTTTGGAGAGTGTGCAAATTTTCAACTCCCGAGTCCCTGTGAATTGCGGACCGCAGAAGAATTATGCGGCCGCAGAAGAAATGCCTTGTGGCCGCAGACATAAATATGCGGACCGCAAAAGACTGGTTAGCGATCGCAGACATAATCTGCGGACCGCAGAAATGTTGCCTCGCGGCCGCAGGTCAGATTTGTGCTGCTGCAGAATCCCAGCTCCTGCCAGATGAAGAAGTCTGCGGACCGCACATGGAATTATGCAGCCGCATAACCTCCCGAGGGGCATTTTTGTCCAAAATTTTCTGACTTGTATAAATAGAAGAGTTTCACGAAATTAGGTCAAGTTTTGACATCAACAATTACTGTAGCTGTTTTTCTTTGCCTCTTTTGGAAGTTTACTATATTTTGGTGTATTCTACAATAGATTTTATTATGTTAACTTACATTATAAGTTTAATTAGTCTTTCTTCTTCTTTTTCTTCAAACCCAAGCATGAGTAGCTAGATTTTTACTAAGGTTGTGACCCAACCCTAGTGTGTAAACCTTATGGGTATCTAATTTAGTGCTTGTTTATGATTGAGTATTTTTTATTTAGCCTAGTTCATGCTTTAATTTGTGGAATTAATGGTTGTAAATATTAGTTCATGCATATTTGACTTAGTCTGTACTTGAGAAAGAGAGACTTAGTCTAGGAAAACTTGGCTAACAAGGAGTTGGTTCAATCGAGAGACTGATTAACCCAATTAAAAGGGTTCAACCTAGAGATAGTAATAACCCAACTTGAGAGTTTATCAACTGTTTTGTGTGATACCCATTTGGTCTTGAGAAAGTCAAATTGGGCAAAACCACTCTCTGGCCGAGAGGTATTGAGTGGGTAATAAAGAGTTGATAGTTATAATACACCCGAACAATAAAATAAATATTAAGGTCTTTATCCCATTAGAAAAATACCTAGGTAATGGTCACAACCCTAGGCTTTTTATTAATTTGAAAAACCTCAAAAACAATTATCCTAGTCTTCTTTCTTTATTCTGCAATCTTTAGTGTAAAATTAGAAATAACATACAAACCTTATTGTGGAAGTGCAAATCAAAATAATTTAATCACGTGCATTAAAATATATACCCCTAAAATATACAAACCTTTTTTTATTATTGCATTCAACTGTTTCATACTTCTTTTGAGGTGTGCAATTGGACGCGATCAATTGTCCTTCATTAATTCTGGGTGGAGCATTCATCTTGCTTCCAAGATCTCTCTAGGTGTTAGTCGTGTATGTGAGAAAACCTGCTCTGATACCAATTGTTAATTTGAGTGCCCGCATGAGTTACTATAGAACTTGATTCTTTACTGTGTTCCTTAAACGTGAAGTGAAATAAGTAGTAAAGTAAACACAATGATTTTAACGTGAAAAATCACCTGGCTCAAAAGGTGCAAAAATCATGACCTACTACGTAGGATTATCAACTTCAACTCGACTACAACAATGAGCCAAAATATAGCAATTACAAGACTGTAATTCAATACTCTCCAGTACTCCTACTACGACTATTTGATTTATAAGTTACTCTAACTTGTAAAGCAAACACTCACTCCAATTCACTAATTATTTTTGACACTTGATTACAACTCGATTTTCTAAAACACATTCACTAGACTAACTCAAGAAGAACACAATATTGGTACTCGACTAGAATGAATAAAATATAGTTCTTCAGTTGATGTGTAAAAGGATAATCTCAGAAGTCCAAAATAGATAGTATTTAAACGCTTGGACTTCAAGATCTTCTAGGAGTCCTATGTATAGTCAGCTTCTTATTTTGATAGGACTTTCCAAGGACTCCACAAGTTTTGGAACTCTTGTCTTTCATTGAATTATTCGTATCTTCTTAGGCAACAACCCTTATCACATGTAGCAGCCTTCTTCCACCAAATTCGGACCTGGGTAACTTTGAAATAAAGTTATCAATCATCAATCAGAGGAGATGGTCCTTTGCCCCAAGGAGCTAGTTCTTAGAACAGTGAAGCAGCTTCGTTGAGGATCTGGGTCTTCAAACATTGCATCTAAACAAAACTTTGTTAATTATCAAAATCTCAATACTCAACACATAGCTAAGAAATGAATGTATAAAGTATGTTGTTTTATTTACTTTTTCATTTTTCTTTTTAGCCAAATGATTAGATAGAAAAGGGTATATGGTTGATTAAAATATCTAAAATACTAGTGCATTGGAAAAATACATTACAAAGTCTTGACAATAAGGATTGATTTCTTGTATAAATGTACGAGAGAAATGTCACTCAAACTTCATCACTTATCAAGGGAAAATTACGGCAAAATCCAATGATTTTTTTTTTTAATAAGAGTAAACTTCTATGATTCTTGATTGAATTTCACACACGAAAAAATGTCACATCAGTGCCGTTGAGCTAATACTTTGAATATAAATTTGATTAAAACTAAAAAAAAAATTAATTTTTGAAAGTTGAAATTGTGTTCGACATGCATTCTACTTGAAAAGAATTTAAAGTTTTGCGAGTAAAAAAATTTAAAATGTATTCTAGAATTGTTTTGGGGATTTGAAGATTTTGTTTTCAAACTATAAAAAAACAGATATTTAAAAATAAAATTTTTAAAAAGAAAAAGCTTCCAAATTTTATGGCCAAACGAGCTCAGGTTCAAGCCTCCACAATTCACAAAATAATTCAGTCTTTTGTCCTACCCAAAAATTCCAAACATAGCGTCCTCCACCATTAAATCGCCAAAAAACATATTCGTGAGTCTGTACCAATATTCTCCTTGTGCCTATCGTGCACACATGCGTCTCTATGTTGTATGTCAAATTATTGGCGGAACGGATTGAGAATTTGAAATTTATAAATATTTACAGTGATTTCAAGTTAATATACAGTAATAATTGGAATTAATGAACTGATTTGCGAGTTAAATATTCTTGCATGTATAGCAAATATAAAATTTGGAGAAAAATTACAAGATTCACGTGAACTCATACCAAATAGTATAGATCCGCTCCTGATAATAGAGTCGAGTCCTAACCCCACCTCCCATATAGAAGAGAATGTGTGAATTAGTCCGATTATTTTTTATGCGTGGTGTAGGATTTAATTGTTACATCAGTTACTTAACATTATTCATCAATGGACATAAGTATCGTATAACTCTATTCATCAAGATAGAAAACCACCTACAGTATTTTTTTTTATCTATGGTGAAAATTATTTAATTCGCTTATATTTACCACTAAATCGCACCGTGCAGGACTGCAAAGCAATTTTAACATCAATTTTGTAATTGTGGACAGCCTCAATGTAGATCCCACATTGACCGTGATCATATCTCAAAGTATGAAGCAGATAATCATTGGTTAACAACCCAATTAGCACTCATATATAAATATAAATATAAATATTAGTTAATTAGGTAAAGTATAGGAAATTAGGAAGGGGTTTTTTCACCTCAATTTTAGGTCAGTTTATCCTTAAGATGGTTTAAAGTACACTTCGCAAGTGCAAAAGGCTTTAACCTATAGTCCAATGAGCAATAATCATTGACTTTTATCTTTGTCGTTATTCAATTTTTTCTTCTTCATATGTTAGATTCCAACCTTAAAATGAGCTAAATTACCACAAAATCTTGTGTAGGAGTGTATCGTTTTTGCAAAATATTACACAAGTAATTAAACACATCAAGTAAAAAGCCCTGCCCCAATATAATTGTTGAAGCGATGGTTACTTTATTAGAAAGAATAAAAATAGGTGGTCACCTTCTTGCTAGTTTTTCAAAGATTTATTACTTGAAGTATTGTGGGATGAGTAAATTTTCATATGGCTTGTACATGAAACTCGTGACTCTTTTGCTTTACTAATACATGAATAAGATGTTACTCATTTTGATCAAGTAAAAAAGAGTAACCTGATACACAAATCATCGTGCGTGTATATAGTCAAAAATTATCTAAGAACAAATTCCACGTCCTAAAAATTGTAACACCATTTTTCTCATACTTGAGGGGAAGATAAAAGTAAAAAAGCAAAACAATAGATAGGGTGAATTTAGTAGTATGTGGAGAGGTAATCAACCTAGAGGCCTTGATCAATGAGATAATCTCCTAACCTCTCAACAACCAAATTGCATTGGCCAGGAGTTACTGGCTCCTCATATGTACCAAACAATAGAGATTGGTTTGTCTTCTTGATAGTTATTCCCCCTGAACCCTGCCAAAAAGTGTGAAAAAAGGTCAATCCAATTTGGGGTGAAGGCAGAAGTCCACGTACATGTTTGATCGAACTCAGTAACTTTTGCTCAAACAATGTGTTTGTATTAAGAAATTTATTAAATATATACACATATTAAATTTAAAATTCAGTTAATAGCACTTAATAAAATCGTTATTTTAAAATTCAGAACTCATAAAGTCAAAATCTTAACTCCGCATCTAAGTTCAATGATGACATATACGAAGTTTCCTCTATATACGTAGTTCAGGTCAGAGCGAGTGTAGTATGTTTGCATGAAAAAAATTGACCATATATAAAGATAAAAACTCACTGACTCCAAATCCTAAATTTGTCGCTAGTTTATTAGTGCAATACTTTCATATGTCATGGCCGGATTTAAGGTAAGCAAGAAGTTGTGATTGAGGAAGCCTCACCCCATTGAATCATTACTCTACTAATATGTTCCTAGTATAAAATACTAGATAGAAGGGTAGGTCATCGGTGGCATAACATCCTTCTCTACTTGTCTAACTCCAGCCAAATAGCATCAATTACTTGAAAATAGTCATAATCACTTGCTGGATCGAACCCAAGGATAGGTTTGACCGGGCGGGTGTTGGATCGAATGAACATTCGACCGCGTCATCACGGCAACGATGAATGTCCAACCTTTAGCTCAAATAAAGACGGGTAAGGAAAGTACGAAGGCTAATCCGACAACTGCTGGCTAGAAGGCGAAAACCGCTTTTTCCAATCAAAGATCCAAAACTAGTAAGGGTACTCGTGCCCCAGCAAGCCAATATGCAAAAGAGATGCAAGTCTAGATAGAAAGATAACGAAGGCAAATTAAAAACAACGATAAAGGCGTATAAGTACACTATTCTGTGTTTGGGATTGTAACTTTCCAGAAATTAAATTTTCTTTGTGAATATTATAATTATTAGGTTAAAAAGTAATATACAATACCTTTTTTCCACGAATAACAGCACCAGCCTCTCCTTGGATAACCATGTATTTTGTTCCTCCAAGGAATAATCCTGCTGGGGCTAGATGTCCTGGCCGATCAAAATCAGTCAATATGGCTTTCATCTCCTCTGCTTTGAACTGCAAAATTCAGATTAAAAATAATTGATTAAATAATAACCACACTTTAGGCATGTTAACCCTTCATTAAAAAAAATTAACATCTTAACGACCAAAAGGAAATAACTATTGCAATCGCAAGATTTACAACGCCATAAATGAAAAAGAGAACAATTTAAGTTTTAGATGAGGCGATTAATATAGTTTAACAAAATGTATTAGAGCAAACGTATCTCATCGATTATTACCAACCTGAAATATATTTATATATGCATAGTTCAAAAAGAGAATTAAACATCAATTGAAGGTGTTTTTTTCGTGAAAATTGATGGTTATTTTGATGTCAACCTAAAATAAATAAATAAATAGTAAAATTGCCCATCCTCTCAATTTAAGCTATAATTAAATGAGGTGATGACAATTTCACTTTAAATTAAAAAACCAAAGCAAAAAACAGTCCATGCTAACAATCAACTGACTTTTAATAGAAATCCCCCTTTTCTTCCCCTTTTCCGACCCCATGTAATAGAAATTCTTTTAATATCCTTTTTAGAAAGATTCAGATTTTGATATAAACATATATGTAACAATAACAAAAATAAACCATCAAAGAGCGTGATGACTGATGAGATAAACGAGATTTCTTCCCCTTAATAGGAAAACTAAAATGTACCTTAGGGAAGTTGGAGCTTTGTGCCCAGATGGAGCCGTCGTGGCCGACGATGGCGGCGGCCGTAAGGTGGCCGCCGCCTTCGACTTCACACATCAAATGTTCATCCACGTAGGTTTGCCAAGACATTTTTCACACACAAAAATCACACAACACACACAATACTTATATTCCTTGTGTATAGGTTTCCAATTAGTTTTTGTATTTGGAGTGGAAATTGGAGCTATCTTTTTTTTCCTTAAGTTGTTATTTTTGGAAAGAGAAGTTTGTGGAATTAATTTGGACATATGCATGATCGTCGTTTAATTAGTGGCATTCATGATTCATGTCGGCCTTCATTTCAGGAAATGGACTATTTTCTTGGACTTGCCATTTATATTTTATTGGCCATTTTGCATGGCCACCCCAACCATTTTTTACAAAAATTCACCCGTTTATACTAAATTAATAAATGCAAAGTACGTGACTTTTATACTCATATGTATCACTTAATTATAATCAAGTTAAAATATTTGTTTGAAATAATAATAAAATATTTTCTTAATAAATGAGTTTTTTACGGTCAGGAAAACTTTTAAAAAAAAAAATCAAACACATTTGAATTCAATATTAAGCTTTTAAAGCTTTATCTATTAATATTATTTATTTAAAAGTACTAATTTGAAGTATCGGTGTTCTAAATGCGGATATTTTGTTTATCAGATTTACGAATATGGCTCGACCGATAAATCTAGGAGCTTTAATTTTATATTTTTTTATTAAAAATATTTTATTAGGCATGGTTAAGAATGTTAACTTGAGATTTATTCATAATAATATTACTTACAAATTTAATAATGACCTATATATCTTGAAAATTAACGTTAAATGAAATAAATGCACGAATATATTATAAAAATAATATATAAAATAATATTAAATTATTTTAATTATAAGTAAAATATCAAGGTAAAAATATATTATATATAATATAGAAGGTATTATATAAATGGGAGAATTTATAATGTCAAGGGTATAATAGACTTTTTAGGTGAAAGTTTTATAAAATTTGGTCAAAGTGACTATTGTATGATTTTTGTGTAACAAAAGAAAGAAAAATGACTTTTGGGTAATGAACACAAAGTTGAATGACTTTTATGTAACAAAAAAAATTAAGAAAATAACTTTTGGATAATAAATATAAAATTGAATGATCACCTATATAATTTAGTTGAACAAATTTGTAAGTAAAATTTCAAGATTGACTGATTCATGCATATTTTTCACACACACTCAACATAAGTCGTTGAACAAATAACGGTCAAATTTTACTTTAAACTTTCATCAGTTGGGTAGAACTTGTTCGTGTTAGAAAATGCTACTCACGATTTACTGTAGAGTTTGAAAAGTTAATTCCGTCTTCACCGAGCTCTGTTTCACTTTGCATAAGATCATGCCATATCACATATTCTAAAGGGCAACAACACGTGTAACACTTGAAGTAAATGTTTGAATTCTTTGACATTAAATGTTTCATACAAAATTTATATAATATGTCTTTTGTATATTTTGTACGTGGTGTGTGCTTCTTTCTGTCTAAAATTCCAATTAAAACTTTTTCTCTTAAAATAATTTTGATACATATCAACAACTTTATGTAAAAGATAATATTGATAACTTAAATACAAATTTTATATAACGATTCATACATTATACAACTATTTTTTAACTTTCATACAACATTCAAATATATATATATATATATATATATATATATAATAGAATACAATTTACATACAATCACTTGCCTTTTCTTGAGCCTCACCTTCATTCTCAGAATTGCCCTCTTCTTCACTATTATTTTATTTTTCTGCAGAATCATTCACTTGTTCACCTGTCTTATCATACATCTCACTCTCATTATCTTCTCCAGAATCTCCCTCATTCTCACTCTTTTCCTCTTCATTAGCTATGTCCTGAGTAGTATTTTCCTCATGACCGCCCACAACTCCTTCTTCCTTTTCTCCCCCATTATCATCCTCATCCTCCATCCAACTGAATGAAAGACCATCAGATGCCTCCTTTTGCGCCGGTTCTTTACTCCCTTTCCCCTCAACCACAGGCACCACAATAGTGGTATCTACCTCTTTCTCCAGATTGTCTACACTCTTTTCTACAGTGAGTTCCTCCACTTATGATTTATCACTTGTGGGTGGAAGAGTGTATAAGGATGTAACATCTATAGCGGATACCATAACATCTAATTTTCAAGGAGGGAGTTGTACCTGACTTGTAGTGATTGGCACTGATTCCCCATGAACCATAGCTTCCTTGACCACTGTGTCTACTTGAGTAGTAGCATCAGAAACTACCTTGACATTCTTGACAGATTTTCTTGGATTAGCCTTGACCTTAGTTGACTTATGAGGTATTTTTCGCAGCAGGCATATATGCATAGTTGGAAGAGATAAGGTGACCAAATTTGAGTTCTAACGGGACTCTTATAACGGTTACTTTGACTGTTATGATTTTAGGAGTAATTAAACTCTAATTGCTCTAGGATTCTCCCTTACTCTTTGACTAGAAGACAACTAGAAGTGAAGCTAACAAGATTAGAAGTCTGAGCATAGCCATAATTTAGGATATAAAGTCCCAGTGAATTAAGACAAGATGACACATACCTGAATCGAAGAACCAACTCCTTAGTAACTCCTTACTTGAATCTGCAATAAAGCTTCAGTACTTCACAGTAGTATCATGCAATATAGTTATCAGCCATATTTTCTAAGCAGCTGTGTGTGCTTAATACAAGCACGAGTCTGAATCAAGCACATTGTACTTGACTATCTACATCTAATTATACTTTTTTAGCCAATCATTAGGGTTCAACTAGTTGGAAGTATTGATTAGACCTAGTTCTAGTCTGTTACTTTCAAAGTGATCCCTACTCAGAGCTTTAGTAAAAATATCTGCAATTTGATCTTCAGTTTTACAAAAGATAATGGAGATATTCCCCTTTTCAACATTGTCTCTGAGAAAGTGGTATCTAATGTCAATGTACTTGGTTCTCTTGTGTTGACATGGGTTTGTAGCAATATTTACAGCACTAGTGTTATCACATAAAGTGGAAACGCAATCAACAAAAATACCATAGTCCCTTAGCTGTTGTCTTATCCATAATAACTGAGCACAACAGGATGCTGCTGCCATATATTCAGTCTCAGCTGTGGATAAGACCACTGAGTTTTGCTTCTTTGTTCCCCAAGACACCAGACAAGAACCTAGAAAATGATCTGTTCCTGAAGTGCTTTTTCTGTCAACATGAAAACCTGCATAGTCAACATCAACATAACCAACTAGATCAAAGCTATACCCTCTGGGATACCATATGCATATGTCAAGGGTCCCCTTGAGATATCTGAGTGTCATCTTGACAACCATCAAGTGAGATTCCTTGGGATTTGCCTGAAATCTTGCACATAGTCCCACATTGAATATAATGTCAGGCCTGCTTGCTGTGAGGTACAACAATGACCCAATCGTTCCTCAATATAGTTTCTGTTCAACACTTTTCCCTTCTTCATCAAGGTCCAGTTTTGATGCAATGGCAATGAGAGTGTCAATGGACTTAGAGGAGTCCATGTTGAATTTCTTCAGCAGTTCCTTGATGTATTTCTGTTGATGTATCATAGTTCCAGTAGGTGTTTGCTTGATTTGCAACCCCAAGAAGAAGTTCAGTTCACCCATCATGCTCATTTCAAAATCATTTCCCATCATCTCAGCAAATTCCTTGCACATTGCTTCATTAGTAGCCCCAAAGATAATATCATCCACATACACTTGCATAATCAGAATATGCTTGCCTTTGCTCCTTAGAAACAGAGTGTTTGTCATGACCTAAAACCACATGACCAGCACTCGGTACTCTATCCGACCCGAGTGAACCATACCATAAATTAATACTCATCTATATGCCTAATAGTCGAATGCGAAAGTCTCTTCAAATATAATCATTTTAAGGAATAACAAATCATGAATAATCTTTTTAAGTAAATATTTTCATTTAGAAGAAAACATCATGAAGATAAAAGAAAATTTCATTCATACATGCCATATGAGCAACCATAGGGTTATAACCCAAATATAAATACTACTATTGTCTATGGAATCTCTATGATACGAAATGAAATAGTCAACCAAGACATAACCCGGTGGCTCAAAAGAATAATAATACAACAAAGTCCTCCACGAGTACAAGTGTGGAGTCTCACCAAAAAATGTCAACAGAAAATGTAGAGCTATCATAAATGGAAATGTTGCCGAAAGGACTAAGCTCCATATGCCTAGTACAAATCATGAACCGCTTCCCAAAAGATAGGACAAGACTTAAGAAGATATAAGATATGCAATAACAATCGATATAAGAAAGAAGCATTTATATCAATTAACAACTTAGAAAATATAATAAAATAATAAGATAAAACATATTTCAAAGTCTTCCTTTTGCATTAATCTTTACAAAATCATGTTAGATTTTTCATTTACCGGGAGCACTATACCATCACCGATACAGAAGAAAGTCAACTAGGTTATGTACCTAGCGAAAAGTATCATATACCCTACTTGCTCAGGTCGTCTCATTGTTATGCCACACGAATCGACTCAACCATGCTAATAAAATAGCACAATAGTACCCCCTCATGGGAAGTACTCTGCCGTAGTTCCCAACCATAAGGTAGGTTCTACGCCTACACCGACACATGTAGTTTCATGACCTAATAAGAAAAAGTATCCAAGGTCAATATCAGTGAACTTAAGTAACTACCAAAATCTTTACATTTATCAATGATAATGTTCATATCCAAATCAACTATTTGAGAATAGCTAAATCTAAGATATTTTACAACTCATGTATTTTCATTTCAAAAATACAACAAGTGCTATTCCTCCTTCATTTAGTTTTAAAATTAAAATAAAATATTTCAAGAAAATAATACTCATAACATTTAAATATTTTATGATGCAAGAAGCAGTACAATCCCAACTCGGTCGTCCCCACAAACTAGGACTCACATTTAGAATTTTTATTTAATCACGTTTCGATATGAGTTTGGAGAAAAGCTTTGAGGGTAGTAAGTTTCAGCGTACCTCAAATTGCTTCCAACCTTATCCCAAATAATCCAATAATTCCAAGGAGTCACAATCTACATATACAAACTCACATAATTCAATAACGCGTCACAACAATACCAACTAAGCCAACTAAGTATCTAACA